AGGAATGCCAATTGACTTGCATGGGCTCCATTGAAATACATTACAGGAGTTGCAAAGAAGATGTGGAATGGATTTTCCATTAAGGTCTCTGGGCCCAAATAGACTACTTTGGGACTGGAATGACAGCTCCCAGGGTGGGATGACAGCCCCAGGGAGTAGCAGAAAGCGTTTTGAGACTGGAATGACACCCCCAGAATGGAATGACAGCCCCAGGGAGTAGCACAAGAGTTCTGGGACTGGAATGACAGGCCTCAGAGTGGAATGACAGTCCCTGGGGGTAGTGGGTGTGATCTAGGGTTGCCAACCCCCCCCCCGGTTTGCCAGGGGTCCCCCGTTTTGGGGGGGTCTACCCGCCCCCAATGCCCACAGCCCCCCCTCTTCCTTCTCGCTTGAGAGAGAGGGGTGGCTGCCTTTAAGTGCATGGACGATCTCCACTTGAGATCAGGTGGTTACTGACTCAGGCACCGGCAGTGGCAAGCTGTCAACTCCCAAAGAGTCAGAGGCACCAGCTTCCAGCTTTAGTGATGCTGGCAACTCCAGCTGCTCTTGCCAACTCAGGCAGGGGCCCGGTGTTGTTGTCGTCACCCATGACAGTGGCTTAAGTGTTCTGGGACTGGAATGACATCCCCTACAGTGGAATGACAGCCCCGGGAGTTGTAGAAACATTTTGGGGCTGAAATGACAGCCCCCAGAGTGGAATGACAGTCCCCAGGAAGAGAATCAGTGTTCTAGGACTTCAATGACAGGTCGCAGAGTGGAATGATGGTCCCTAGTAATAGAAACTGTGCTCTGGGGCTGTCCCCCAGAGTAGAATGGTGGCTCCTGGGAGTAGAGTCAATGCTTTGCAATTGGAATCACAAACTGCAGAGTACTTTACATTTTAATTAATATTTCTGGAATGTGTGCAGCTATCGCCAAATCAGCTCCACCTCAGTATATATCCTGCCTGTCAGGTCCTCAGTTTCCTTACAAATTCATGAGGTTGATGTTGGCCACCTCCTCTGTTGTCAATTTTAAATCTTGTCCTTGTCCCACTTCCAGTTCCAGTGTCCAGTTCTGCTGCCTCCCTGACCTCTGTGTTCCCATTACATGTCACACCCTGCATGAGTTCCTTGGACACTTCTGCCCTGTCTGTTTACCACTGACCCAAAGCACCCCCTCCATAGTCTCTCTGTGAAAAATCCCATCCTGTACCCTAGCTCAAGGGTCCCCAACCTTTCTGAACCTGTGGCATATTTGTAATTCTGACACAGTGTGGTGGGTGCAGACACAAAATAACTGCTAAAGGATGTGGAGCCAGCCAGGAAAGGATGCCTCCCCCACTACTCCCAGGGGCTGTTATTCCACTCTTGGGGCTGTTATTCTATACCCAGAACACCTCTGCTACTCTCAGCAGCTGTCATTCAACTCTGGGGCCTGTCATTCCAATCCCAAAACATATCGGCTACCCCCAGGGCCTGTCATTCCTCTCTAGGGCCTGTTCATCCAGTCCCAGAACATTTCTGGTACTTCCAGGATCTGTCATTCCTCTGTAGGGCCTGTCCATCCAGTCCCAGAACATTTCTGGTACTTCCAGGATCTGTCATTCCACTCTGGGGCCTATCATTCCAGTCCCAGAACACATCTCCTACCCCATGGACTAATTCTACTCTGGGGGCTGTCATTCTAGTACTAAAACACTTCTGCTACACCCAGGAGCTGCCATTCCATTCTGGGGCCTTTCATTCCAATCCCAGAACACATCTGCTACCCCCAGGGGCTGTCATCCCACTCTGAGGGCTGCCATTCCAGTACCAGAACACATCTGCTTCCCACAGGGATTGTCATTCCACTCTGAGCCCTGTCATTCCAGTCCCAGAACACTTCTTCTACTCCCAGGGGCTGTAGTTCCATTCTGGGGCCTGTCCATCCAGTCCCAGAACATTTCTGCTGCTTCCTGGGCTGTCATTCCACTCTGGTGCCTGTCATTCCAATCCCAGAATGCTTCTGCTACTCCCAAGAGCTGTCATTCTACTCTGGGGGCTGTCATTCCAGTACCAGTGTAGTCTATCTGGGCCCAGAGATCTTAATGGAAAATCCATTCCACATTTTCTGTGCAACTCTTCTTGTGCTGCAATGTATTTCAATGGAGCCTGTGCAAGTCAATTTGCATTCTTGGCTCCCATTATCTCCAGTGGGCCTTCAAGCCTCTCCCATTGTTTCCAATGGGCAATCCTGTCATTCCTTTTAGTACATACCCATGCAAGATGCTCAGTGTGCCTGCCATATCAGATCTATTAGGAGGAAGTCCAGTGGCTCCTTAAAGACTAACAACAAGATGAATTCCACTGTAAACTTTCATGAGTCAGGGTAGCTCTAACTTATGTAAATGTTTAATGAAATAAGTGCTGTTAGTCTCTAAATTGCCACTGAACTTCCATTTAGTTTTGCTGCAGCTGTAACAGGGTACCCCTCTTGGAGACTGTTGCATCGTTTTCCATTTCTGGAAATGAGTGAGTGTTTAATATATATGCCATTTTGTTGTAAGCAGTAGTTCGCACTACAAAATAACTGCACTCCGCTGTGTTTCTTAGATTTCCAGCTTTAGCACCAGCAGCCTCTAATGTGCCCCACCCTCTTTCCCGACCTGCCCTGGAGCTGGATTCTAAAAAATGATTTTGTATTCTGCAGATAATTTTGGAACATCTCAGCTCCATAATTCCAAGTCTAGATCCTACAAAGAAGAATTTTCATTTTTTGAGAACAGTGATGGTGATGCTGAACATATTAAATCAAATTAAAATTACTGTTGGCCTTACTAAATAATATAATGGCCCCGGTCACACTAGCGGGAAAAGCCGCGGCAGAAGTGCGGCTTTTTAGAGCCGGAACAAACAGAAGCGCGGCAGCGGGATCAGACAGGTCCTCCGAGGCTCTGCGCTTCTGCCGGCAGCTGCGATCACATGCTGCAGGGGAAACGACTCTAAGGAGGGCGAGGAGGGCCAGCCGCAGCAGTTGTGCGCATGCGCAGTTCGCCATTACCACGCATAACACGGGATAACCGCGCGTCAGTGATCCCACAGCCGCCGTTGCTGTGCGACATACAGTAGATAATGCCCTTTCACTAGTCTCTTTTAGATCCGCATCTTCGGCCAGAAAGGACGGGTTGGGGGCAGGTGCGCAATGCTTGCCAGATGTTGGCATCTGATCGCGCCGGTTTAATCCGCCCTTAACCCATCCGTTTCATGGGGCAAATCCTCCCAATAATGCACATTTAAATAAACAGATTAATTAAAAGCCAGGGTGGCCCTTTTAAAATGTTGATCAAGTTAATTTTTACTAACCATACTACTGTGACATACATCTCTCTCAGTTTTGTTGCAATATGCGAGGTTTGTTATTATCAAGGTTTTTTAAAGTCCAAGTTTCAGATTTCTTTCTGGATTTTCATTGCCAACTAAAACAATTGTTTCAGTCCCAGAACTTGAGAGATGACATATATCACAATTTAAATACAACATCATGTGATTGTGTATATTTTAATAATCAAATGTTGTGACATTTAAAATAGAGTTTTGAATGTGGCTGCTCCTGTGGTTGCTGAGAAAATCTTAAAAATATAATTAATTCATTTTCAATAGGGATTATCTTGGGAAACAAAGGGTCCATTTACCACATACAAGGATTATGACAGTTCCTGTGTTTGGTTGTATTAGTGCAGACAGCAGAGCAGAGGCTCCATCTATATATATAAAAGAAAGTCCCCTCACCGTAAAATCAACCCCCAGGCCAAACTGCTGGACCTAGAGACACCAAATTTGGGGAGAGCGCTCCTACCGTGGTGTAGGTGCTCACTAAGAAAGGATTTTTAGAAATTCAACCCCTAAGTGGGTCAAAAGGGGGGAAATGTGCTACCCCCATTGATCCCTATGCGGCTGCCAGGCAGCTGCCTCCCTGCACCCCCCACTCTCTGATTGGTCAGCTGCAGAGCTCAGTGTTCTGAGGTAAAAAAAACAGTTAAAGAGAACTACAGACAGCTAAAGACAGTTGAAGAAATCAGGAGTGGCCAAGAACCACCTGTGAAGTGAAGCAAAGCTGCTGGCCCAGCCTCTCTGATGGCTTCCAACACACTCCCCCCACCTCCTACACCTAACAGGTGCAGCCCCACGTCCACAGTGGCTTCTAATACTCCTCCCCCCTACCCTTCCTACACTGGACAGGTAGCTGCCTCTCAGGTGTAGGAGAGGAGGTGGGATGGCTTCCAACACACTTCCCCCACCTCCTATACCTAAAAGGTGGTTGTCTGTCAGGTGCAGCCACTCCTCCACAGTGGCTTCTAATACTCCTCCCCCTCCTACACTGGACAGGCAGCTGCCTGTCAGGTGTAGGAGAAGAGGTGGGATGGCTTCCAACACACTCCCCCCACCTCTTACACCTAACAGGTGGTTGTCTGTCAGGTGCAACCCCTCCTCCACAGTGGCTTCTAATACTCCTCCCCCTCCTACACTGGACAGGCAGCTGCCTGTCATGTGTAGGAGAAGAGGTGGGATGGCTTCCAACACACTCCCCCCACCTCCTACACCTAACAGGTGGTTGTCGTCAGGTGCAACCCCACCTCCACTGTGGCTTCTAATACTCCTCCCCCTCCTATACTGGACAGGCAGCTGCCTGTCAGGTGTAGGAGAGGAGGTGGGATGGCTTCCAACACACTCCCCCCCCACCCCCTACACCTAACAGGCAAGTGCAGCAGTGGTTGCAGGGTGCTTAAAGCCACGAGGAAGCCTGCCCCAGCAGTAACGCCTTAGTGATCCTGCTAGCCCTGCCTCCACAGTGGCTTCTAATACTCCTCCCCCCTCCCACACTG